AACTTCAGCATGTATGTAAATTTAAATAGCCCATGTTAACCTCCAATCGTAGCAAATGTGGTCATTCTGTTTCTTAGGATGGCTGAGTATTTCAAGCAATAAAATTTTAGTCATTGGATATAGATTTTTGCTAATAAAGTGGAAAATTAGAAGTTTAATCAATCAAGTAAGTGTTCTAAGCTCTAGTTCTAATGCAGGAGGGCTTGACCCTCCCTCCACTCCTTCCTCACCTGTTTTCTACACTCCACCTCCAACAAAGTCAAATACTCTCCTGAGGGAAACATCATCTTTCACAGAACTTACCAAGTCAGTAAACTTACAAATGACTTCCTCAAACTTCTGGGAAGACTCACAAAACATCCTTTCTCCTCTTTATTGGCTCATTCTTATTATTACCAATTTAAAAACAATCCAGGGTGCTTATTCAAAAGAATAGTTTCACAATAAAATCTGTCATTAGGATATTGCCATTTCCCCCCAAATACTTAGCTGTGTGGTATTATCCAAAGCAATCAATACTTGTAATCTAATTTCTACTATTAACTTCAAGGATAACAGTCAGTTCTGGAACACGAAATTTTCTAAATAAACATCTTGTCGCTGTGCAAACATTCTCAAGGAAAACAATTTTTTAAAGCCACTAAATCTTTTCAGAGCTACAGAAAGTATAAAAGGCAAAGATACAGAAATTCAACACTCCCAGAAGTTGTCTTCAGCCGTCAAGAATTCTCCAGAAATAGGCTGAAAATATACTGCAGCACATGGTGGGGAAAAAAAGCTAAAGTGCTCTTGTATGAAATTATCTGCCAGATTCCCAACTGCTCTCACTTTGATTGGCACAGGATTCTAGTAGGTGTTTTATGAGGAAAATCCCTATGCACTAGGGTCTTAAAATTCTCATAGAAATAAAAAATCAAAATGAGGACACATGGAGGTAAATTTAACACTCAGAAAACCATATCTCAAAAACTTTGTTTCGAGCAAATCTCCTGCTCCCCCCAATCCAAAGAAAAACTGGTTTTATAAAGCAAGGCAAATCATATTTTAAAGAACTATGTTTACAAGTTAGCTCATTACAGTCACTGAGATATCAAACTTGCTCATAAATCACATAAACATATTTACAAGTACAAAATCATTATCTCCAAACAATAAATGATGAACTAATCAAACTTCTAAATGTAGGAGCTCTACATCGGAAAAAAGTATTTTCCCCTGATGTAGTCTTACATTCAGACTTTAGGAAAATTCAATAATCCAACAGTGTTAAAAAGAAATATTAACACTGTTGTCTCAAATAATAACTTTATTTATCTTAAGATAAATAAGATAATATATATTCTTATATATATTTAGAAAACCAAATAAAGGCAGAAGCTATAACTGATGAAAGATCATGAGGTATAACGTGGATTTTTATTGAATTTCTATAAAAATCTGGTTCCAAAATTAAATATGCAATCTCACACTTGTGTGTGTGTGTTATAAACCTACACACACACGGCCAATAAAACTCCACTAACTTATAACAGGCAATTGTAATAAACTACTGGAATAGTGATACAGCAATATAAAAAAAACAAAAACTATGTGTAAGTCAAACAATGGGGAAAAATTAATCCTTCAGAGCTTCCATTAGTCATCAGAACCATCTTACAATAAGTCTTTCTGATTTGTGATGGAGAACTGAACGTTGAAGCAGCATTCACACTTAGTGGACTTTTAACAAAATGTACTTGTGTTCTCTGCACTCCATCCCCTCCTACAACCACTGTCTGCTATATAATTATTTTTAATGAATTAAATTATAGTTTTTCTGATCATTTGAAACACCTTCAGAATGAAACTGGAGTTTTTGGCATTACAGTATACCCTAATAAGTAAGAAAATGCTGCTTTGGTGATTTCAAGCCCTTCATTGGCAAAGAAATGAGTGGCTATGTTAACAAACAGTTGACGGCTATGTTCCAGAGCAAACTGGAAGACCGATTCTCTGCAAACATTACCAAACTGCACTTATAAATTTTAAGTTACACAGATCACAGGACTAGTCTTGGGTAAAAGTGTTAATAGATGTCAGCAACTGAAAATTTACCCTAAAACACAGGTACCAACTGTACAAAAACAAGAGCCATCAACTTAGAGCTGGCCTCCGCACCACGGTCCCAGCTCCCACCCTCGCGCGCGAGACATCGTCTGAGGTCCCGGCCTGCACAGACAGCTCTGCCTGACGCCACGGCAGGACAGGCCACTGCAGGACCTCTGAGCCGTGATCTCCAACCAGGAAGGCAGCCACCAGGGGACCCCACAGCAGCCCGCATGCTGGTCCTCTCTCCTGAGAGAGCAGTGGGAGCAGAGGTGCCCACTGCATAGCAGCGCCACTGCACTAAGAGCCTGCAGGGGCAGGGGCCTGTTTGATTCACTTCTGCCCCAGCAATCTCCATCACTGGATGGAGCCCCAGTGTCCAACACGTGCTCTGTGAATGCATGCACAAGACTGTATGTGTGCATGCTAAAGTCATTTCAGTCATGTCCGACTCTCTGTGACCCCAAGGACTCTAGCCCACCACCAGGCTCCTATGTCCAAGGGCTTCTCCAGGCGGGAACACTGGAGTGGGTTGCCATTTCCTTCTCCAGGGGATCTTCCTGACCAGGGGTCGAACCTGAGTCTCCTATGGCTCCTGCACAGCAAGGTGGGTTCTTTACCACTGAGCCCGCAGGGAATTCCAAAAGCCGGAAACTGAAAGGAGACCTCCCAAACAGAGATGAGAAATAAAAAGGGAGAGCGCAGTAAGTGTGAAGAAGCGGTGAAGGCAACCAAAGGTGGGCATGTACATACTTCCCATATAGGTTCTGTCGCTGCAGTAAAGCATGCAACACCTAAAACCTGGTATTTCCAGAGCAAATGGCAAGAGACAGCACCGCACCGTTTAGGCAGTCTGAAGGCGTCTTACTTAAAGAGCTTTATAGTCACTGTATACACAATTTAAACTTAATACAATCAACATTTCTCATACTGTGGACTATTCTCTACAGTCCACAAGAGGACTAAGAGAAAAAAGCAACAGTGTAAATGCAATTCTAAATTTTTTTAATGGCAACATTTTTCTTAAATTAGATTTTATGTCCATACATAAATAAAAATTTAAAAATTAAATATCAGAACAATGTTTTATGTTAAAGTATAAATGAAAGCTAAAAACTGTCACAATAAATGTGTCATATACATTTAAAACATAGTATAAATTAGAGGCTGTAACTTCATTACATGGAGGTATGTATCATATGTGTAGGTTCCCTATAAGCAGGAAATCATGTACTATTTTTAGTTTAAGGTAAGACAAGGATGACAATATGGACCAATTAAAAAATTTTTATCCTAGGGTCTAGCATACTCTATTACTCATTATCACAGGTAAACCATTCAAGAGATAAATTTTTGTTAACTACTTTTCCAAGGAAGTCATAATGTTCAATCAACGGAAGTTAAGCACGTTGCTTCCACTGACTTCCCTGGTAGCTCAGTTGGTAAAGAATCCCCCAGCAATGCAGGAGAACCCAGTTCAATTCCTGAGTCGGAAAGATCCACTGGAGAAGGGATAGGCTACCGCTCCAGTATTCTTGGGCTTCTTTTGTGACTCAGCTAGTAAAGAATATGCCCGCTCCAGTATTCTGGCCTGGAGAATTCCATGGACTGTATGGTCCACAGGGTCACAAAGATTTGGACATGACTGAGCGACTTTCACTCACTCACTTCCATCAGAAAGTTTTAAAACAGCAGAAATGTTTTCTCCAGCTTAAACTATTTCATTCGAACTAACTTAAAAAGATATATATCAGAGGATCTAAAATGTACAGCATGGTGACTATAGCTAACAACACTGTATTATATACTTGAAAGCTGTTAAGACAGTAAATCTTAAAGGTTCTCACTCTTAGTTATGTGAGGTGATGGAGGTGTTAACTAACCCTACTGTGGTAATCATTTCACAATATGTAAGTGCATCAGACTGCAAACTCACACAGTGACATATATCAATTACATCTAATAAAGCTGGAGGAAAGAGAATGGTGTATATAAAAAAGTGGTCATGGAGTTCCCTAGTTGCCCAGTGGTTAAGGACTCCACACTTTCACTGCCAGGTCCTGGGTTCAATCTGTGCTCAGGGAACTGATATCCTGGCAAATAGAATAGCCAGAAAGTAAAAAAAGCACGACTGTTATTCTTCTCCACTCTATGAAACAACAAGCAGAAGATGAACACACTGTATTTTGGGATATATTTGTGGTAACTAAAGAACAGTCTTCTTGAATTGGGACTTTTTTATATTGCATTTTATACAAATGACATTTAACTTTAAAATGTATTCGTTTTAGCTTTAGAAATTTTGCTTTCCTATAGAAAACCTATTCTGTAGTCTATGAAGACCGGTGCTCTAATATACAACCCTGGTCTATTTTGAGGGGAGTGGAAAGGAGAAAGAAAAAAAGCTTTGTTTTTAAAGAAAAAAATTTAAAATTCATTAAATGCATGCTTTAAAATAAGTCAACTTTAAAGCATGAAGTCTCAGAGTGGAGTTATACTATATACTTTTTTGCACTCCAATAGTAAAAGTGAACTTTCTTCAACTTGTAATTTAAATTGGCTAAGTCCAAGTATCTCTGTACATCTTTCTATACAACTATATACTATGAACATATATCTTTCTAAATCTAGTATATCTGTCTATGTCTATATCTATATATCTCTTTCTATACTTATATACATTTGAATACCTACATGTTTCTCCTAGGTCAACTGCAAGTGAAAGAAAGAACAATTTACAATCAAGAATATAACACAGAGTTTTTTTTTTAATTTGGGAGACTAATGAAAAATGGAAGCTCTTTCAAAGTAAGATTGCTATGGTTGGTTAGTTGAAACAATAGTGGACACACTCCCAATACCAAGATGGATATGAAAACAGTAAGCAGCATAATATCATAAAATGTGTAGCTTACTTTGTGCCTTTTCAGAGAAGTTTATCTGAAAGCCTAAAGTAAAAGAGATAAGTTCCAGTTCATTTACTGTAAATCAAACAAACCAAAATTAGAACATGACATTGCATTTTTATATTACATTCAAGAACAGTTCAAAGCATATAACCTCCACCATCACAGAGATAACTATAACACAGGGGCTTTCTTTAAAAACTCAGCTCTTTCTGATGTAGATGTACTTTTATAATTATATGGAACTGAAATCAAGTTCAAATTATAAGAGTTACATTGTCTTTACCGTTACTTTTCACATCTATTCAATAAAAAGAATAGCTATTAGCCCTTAGACGTTAATAGTAACTTTTAAGGCAGTTTCATCGATTTTTTCAATCTACAAGTTCAGAACAAATCACATTTTATTAACTCATATTACAGACTTGAAACTATTTGATTACTACCCCGATTCAAAAGCTTTGGTAGTTAATAAATTGTAAAAGCTAAACACACATAGCAACATTCTGCCAATGAGCTAACTTCAAATGATAAGACAGTGAACTACTAAAGAGGTGCTGAAATTCTCTAAAGTAGGCCTGAAAAAAGACCATGTCCCTAGAAATGATAAGTAGGACTATAGGAGTTACAGGAAGAAAACCTGTGAATTCTCCTTAGATACATCAACATATTTTCAAATTCAATTAGGTCTGGTTATACCTTCCACATACACTTACATAGATGTAATTTTGTAAAATGCACCCAGTCAAATAAGCTGTTCAAAACAAAAGCCTTCCAAAATACAAATGAATATGTATTCATTTGCCCTGAAAGTCTATTGGGTGAATTTCCAGTTTTCTTAGTGGTCTACCTATACCTCTGTTTTTTATTGCTTTGGGGAACAAAATGGAGAAGTCAAATTTAGAATGAGTATTGCTCAAGTATATTTATACAAATTCAATTAAAACTTGTAGGAAAAAGAGCCAGGACAAAAAAGGATTATCTCTCCCATCCAGCTATCAAAATTCTTAGGATTTTAAGTTATAGGACTTCCCTGATAGCGCAGTGGATAGGAAACGGCCTGCCAATGAAGAAGACATAGGTTTGATCCCTGGTCCAGAAAGACCCCACATGCTGTAGGGGGAAAGGATTCTGTGGGTCTTATGAACCTAAGCAACTAAAAGCCAGCCAGCGTCCCACCAGGCACAAGTCAGGAGGAATAGGAGCTGGCAGTGTGTGTTCTGGAAGCAACTGCAGAAAAGGAACATGAAGGAGCTCAGAGGCCCACCTCCCATCCCGCCACTGGAAGAGGGAGGGGGAAGTTCAGCTGCAGACTGCAGAGGCGCTGGTAAAACAATGAAACAATCTGATAGTTACTATTCTCTTGTTAGCTCTAAATACACTCAGTAGTTGCTACTAGGTAGCAAAAATAAAAGGGGAGAGAAGAGGTGAACTGAACAGCAATAGGAATGGGGAAAGGAGCAGGAAAAATAAATCTGAAAGGTATGTGAAGAAGAATGAGAAGGATCTGTATGGTAGTATTAAAAATAAATTACAGGATAAAAGTATAATGAATAGTTAAAAATTTAAGGCATATGTAACTGGGAATGTTAGAAATGTCACCAATTACTCCCCAAACACATTAGAAGTTAAGCCCTTTAAATGCTAAAAAGTTCTCAAAACTTGGAAGTTCTGTAATCAGTACAGAATCCATGCATGTAGCTAAAAACAGAGGGGGTAGCATTCTTGAAGTAAAACTACAAGTTTTACTAACCTAGTTATGGATGAAGTGACCAGGTGAACAGATTCTAAGGACTCATACCTACATCCCTCTCCTATCTACATTCCTCATTCAGAAAAGATCTGCTAACTGACCTGGGGTTTGTGGGCAAGCACAGACTAAAGAAACTGGAACAGAATGACTTGGCTTTTCCTTGAAATTCCATTTTATCTTACCGATGAAGTCAGATAAAAAGTTATTAGCTAAATCTTTCTAGACCTCTAAGACTATACATATACATGTATATGTACACATACACACACACACACATATGTAGAGAGAGAAACTATATAGGGAGAGATTACATAAACATGGAGAAGAAACCACCAAGGTCAGAGAATTGGTGCTTACAGTACAGATGAGAAAAAGCTTATGATGTTCAACAGGCAGGGCAGGGTCAAGGGAGCCACCACCAACCTTGTACAATAAAAGAAAGATGGTGAGAAAGAAATGGGGAGGAAAACTTCCAATATCCTCAACTTCATAAAAAGCAAATTTGAGATTGTTGTAATTAGTCCATTAATATTCATTCACATATGCTCAGTTTTTGAGGTCTCACAAATTATGCCTAAATTCTGTCTTTCCATGCATACGCTCTGAGCCCTGCATCTCCGAGAGTAGTAGGTAGCAGCTGAATCCACTGCTAGTAACAGGTTAAATTTTCAAATCTCAGGTGCTGCACTCTTTAACTTTGTATCTGTACCCAGGGCCTTAATTTTACTTGATCTCCTGCTTCAAATTTTAGTCCTTTTCATTTTATCTGGCCCCAACCAAATTTCTTTTCACCAAATCTCAGAAACCCAAGAATGAAATACAGAGATACACAGGGCAGGGTGCTAGCAAGCCAACAAAAGAAATAAAGATGTGGGGGGGGGGGGGGGCGGCGGTGGTTTCTTCTCCTTTTACTCACCAGGCTTCTCCTCCATGTTCCCCTCATTCTCACCCTCTAGCCCCAATCCTGAGAACCCTTAACTGGTCATAACTGGAAACCTACAATTTACTGTACTTACCAGATAAAGCAAGCTTGTCTGCAACACTTTAAAAGGCTGTTTAGGATGTGTGTAAGTGTATATTAAAACCAAAGGCATAACGGCATTTGAGAAAGTAGAAAACAAAATGAAGAATGTCAGGCCTGGGTTCTAGTTCCAACTGAAACTCAAAACGAGTCATCTCACTTGACCAGTTTCCTCATTTATAAGATTAACAATAGCATCAAGAGATCTCAGAATTGAAACAGCGTGTCCACATGTAAAGCTGCTTGTCAAATGGCCTTCGTGGGGCACAGGAACCATCCCCTCTTCTCTTCGTCTGGGCGAGGGTATAATGGGGGGAGGGGGCGGGCAGGGCAGGGGTCTCAGTAGTTGCCCACCTCCTCAGTAGCACCTTATGGTTTCCGGACACCCTGGATTCTAGAAATGCTGAAAAGGGATGACGACTACAGTACAAAGCCAACCTGACATATAACCACAGCTGCCTGCTTCCTGGGTCAGGCCACAGACGAAGCGCCCATACCCGCCTCCTACACAGCCAAAGACGCCGGCAGTGGGTCGCCTTGCAACTCCAACTTCGGAATTCTGGTGCATGCCTTCAACTGTAAAGTCACTCACAGTACACCATGGCGGCTCTAACATCTAAGCACCTATCTAAGCCTATCCAGACCTTGTATTTTCACTGTACTTAGACAGAGTTCCACAGACTTCCTGCTGGGTTACTTCCTTGAGTTTCCCTGACTTCACCTTTCTCAAACCGCAAAGGGACCCACCTTAATCAAGTAACTCCAGGTTATCTGCATTATCCAGAACTACTCACTCACGATTAACACTGAGGATCTTGTCAGTCCCGTATGCCCACCTCCTTTCCTCGCTGTGGCTGGTGACTACCTTACTGACTCCGGTTTTGTAACTAAGCGCTGAAATACCATCTTGCCTCATGCTAGGAAGCCTAGGAAAGAAGAGCAAAGGCTGCCTGTCACCAGGTGGATTAAAACCCACTTTTACCAGGGCAAATCCCTCAGTTTAAATGTTTATTCCCTTACCTAAGAAAGGGGATCATGCCCACCTACCCTTAAAGAGAGCTTATGAACATCAACTTAAGCAAAGACAGTGAAAAAAGAGCTGTGATAACTATTAGTTTCCCTTCCAGACTTTAAATCTGAATTATACTTCCTCAGATTGTATCACATGGGCTTTTCAGATCTCCAAGTGATAGAGGTCCATCTGAATTATGTGCAATAGAGTTGATCTGATTTCCAGACCCCTAAAAATAAGAAAAACTCTATGGGCCCAAGTCAATCCAACCTTCTCAAATCAGGTTAACAGAAATAGAATAGGAAAAGAGAAATTTACAAAAAAAGAAACATGACTCAAAATACAGGGTTCCCATACATCACTTTAAACAAGTGTCAATACACACTCTGATAAGGGACATTAAGGAAAACATGAGAAAATAAGTATCCTGAAAGCATTACATTTTTCTACTTTCTTAAATTTAATACTAGGGTTACTCTCCTTTTTAAGGAATATAGAGAAAAACATCGCATGCTTTAAGGGGGCACCAATTTCCTGAGCTGAATTTTACTTTTCAGGTCATGTCAAACAAACAGTGACAGAAAGTGTGTTCCAACACACTAGGAAAAGCAAGCCACTCCAAGGTTTGGAAACTTATCCCTGTGTACCATTCAGTTTTTTTAAATTAGGATTAAGGCACACCCCTCTGGTAAATGGTACAGACAGAAAGACAGTAAAATAGAATCACAATTAGGGCATTTCATACTAATTTTGTATATGCAAATATTACTGGGAGAAAAAAGCATACCGATTCAAATTTTCACTTTTCCTCAACAGATACATTTCGTTACGCTTGTAAGTTTTGTGTGTGTGTTTCTGTTTTCTTTCTATAAAATTTTTAACGAGTATAACTGACATAACGTTCTATTAGTATCAAGTATACAACTTGATTCAATGTTTATGTTGAGAAATGATCACCACACAGTAAGTCAAATTAACAATCATCATTGTACATAAAAAAACTTTCCTGTGATGAGAACTTTTAAGATCTATTCTGTTAGCAACTTTCAAATATGTGATACAATATTATTAACTATGGTTGCTATGCTGTGCATTATTTTGTATATTTTTTAAAAGCAGAATCAAATTATCATCTTTTTACTTAAATTGACATTTGTAAAATGTTCAGCTGAGGGTAAATGGGTAAGGAATGGGCTAGTCTATAAGCTTACTGTTATATAAATATACATGTTATACATTAGAGACTCAAAAAAAGAAAAACTGCCTAGATAAGCACATTAACTGAATCAGAGTCACCTACAACATATAATTTATAACTATTTCCTGTGACAAGTACTTTACAGGTGCCTCTGTTTTTCACACACATTTACAGATTCTAACTATTCTAATCATTTTTTAAAAACTGACATTTCTCAGCTACCCAAGTAAAGTTTAAGATGTTTTATTTTTTCCCTGCTTTAAGTTTTCCATAATAAATTTAACTTCTCGTTTTTTAAACTCTATTAATTTTTAAGGGACTACTAACTAAAGTATTTAACAAACCATGTTTAATAGCAATCCTTACATACGTATGTGTGCGTGCATGTTAAGTCGCTTCAATCATGTCCAACTCTTTATGACCCTACGGCCCACCAGCCTCCTCCGTCCATGGGATTCTCCAGGCAAGAAGACTGGAGTGGGTTGTCATGTCCTTTTCCAGGGAATCTTCCCGACACAGGGATCGAACCTGTGTCTCCTAGCCGCCTGCACTGGCAGATGGGTTCTTTACCACTACCTGGGAAGGCCCTTTATATACGTGTAGAGATTTTATAATTTTCAAAGCACTTTCATAAGCATTAATCTAATAATGTGATTCTCACAACAGGCCTGTAAGTATTATCCCTACTTTAACAAATGAGAAACAGATGAGTTCAGAAAAGGTCAGTAATTTTGCCAAAGTCACAGAGCTTGCACATGGCAGAGCAGTTACCTGAACGCAGGAAGACTACTCATCGAGAACATTCTGAACAGAAATGCTCAATAATGAAAAATGGAAATAAACAGTTCACAGAAAAGGGTAGAACCCAATGATAATGAAGCTAAAGAAACTCCATGATGAGGGGTTTGGGACTCATCTGCTAATAATGCAAGAGACAATTAATTAGACTATAATAAGTAAGAGCATTGTTGCTATTTAACAATGATGATGGCTAATATGTATTGATCACATACTTAATTGTATGTCAGGCCCACGCTGTATCTGCATTCTAGAAGTTCCTGTAAAGTAAGCTGTATTCCTACTTTCCAATGGAGAAACCGACCCTTGGAAAGTTAAGTATCTTGCCCAAGATCACAGAATTCGTAAATCCTGATGAAGAGATTTAAATCCAGGACTCCAGAGCTCTGGCTTAACTCAAGCATTATATTAAAAAACAATAATTCTCAACTGAGACCACTCCTGGGTCACAAACCTCAGACCATGAAAAAGTGTGAAGAGTGATCCAGTGTCCAGCACAATGCTCATCACACAGATCGACCACGATATCTGTTAGATGATGTGTATTCCACGTGGCCCCTCAACTGAACCCCACTACTCAAATGAGCACGGTCATTAACAACTCCAGAGAGACAGTACTTTGAGGTGTCAACTGACCATGTTCGGAAGGGGGGTGGGGGAAGGAGTGGCATTTACCAAACAACCAAGGATCACAAGTTTGACCTAAAGCCAAAGATCTGGTAGGTGAAGGAGGGGAGGTGAGGCTCTAACATCACAAGACAAATGAAAATCCTATCCATCCCAAGAGCTTCAAGTGCTTCTCTTCATTCTGAGTAATCGAGATCAGTTCAAGAAGATGTAACAGGTTCCTGAATCAATCAAGGCTACACACAGCACTGACTAAAGAAAATTCATTAGGAGCTCAAAGAGAAGTCTTGAAGTCCTCCCTCTCCCTTTTAAACTGGGTTCTGCTTACTAGGGGCTTCCCCAGTGGCTCAGCAGTAAAGAATCTGCCTGCATTGTAGGAGACTTGGGTTCAATCCCTGGGTGGGGAAGATCCCCTGGAGAAGGAAGATGGCAACCCACTCCAGGATCTTGCCTGGGAAATCCCACGGACAGAGAAGCCTGGCCGGCTACAGCTCATGGGGTTGCAAAGAGTCAGATACGACTGAGTGACTAAACAACAACGAAACTGCGTATTAGGAAGGTCAGCTGACTGGATATCAAAACCCAGGGGTCGGGAGGAGGAGAATGGAGAGCATCAGAGTAACCCCTAACCATGACGCTTTTCTCTGAGTTCCTAGAATACTCCAGGCTCTTTTCCACTTTTTGGAATCTTCACATGTATGGTTCCCTTTGCCTAGAACCCTCTTCTTTATCACAAGAGTCATCTTACCAGACGGGTTCTCTGAGACCACCTTATCAAAGCAGACTCCCCCCTCCCCTATCAAATTCTACCCCAGCTTGTTACTTTCATTACACTTTTCTCAATTAGCAGTTTTTATTTACCTGCACACTGTCTTCCCTCCCCAATCCTACCTGAAGAATAAGCTCCATCAAGAATAACGCTTTCTGATTCACTCTTTCCTATAAAGAGCACTATGCGATAGAGCACTATGCCTGGCACTAAACAGATGCTCAAGTCATATTTTTTGGAAACTAAATGTCTACAGCTTTTTCAAACTATCAGCCTCCCTACTCTCAAACCCCCAAAACTTGCATACTTATAAGCTCTATAAGTCACTCATTTTGGATATGCAATACAATCTTAAGTTGTCATTTTACTGTTTCATTTCACCATCAACTAGACTGCCCAATGGAAAGATCAGGAAGTGCATCCTACATTCATTCATATACTGTGCAACACAGTGGCATCCAGGAACTAATTCAACTCCAATTAATCATCTGAGGGCCTGCACAGAAAGTGTCCTCTCTGTTCCTTATGTATATCCCAAGAGGAGGGGGACAGGGAGGTAAAAATGACAAAAATCCCCAACTCTTGCTTCCTGAATCACACTCGCATAAACCCGAAAGACTCAATAAATGTCAAACCTAACTAGACACACGCGTAAGACAGATCTCAAAGCCCTTTAGATAAATGTTCATTAAAGAGTAACCATGGTCACACTGACCATGAAGGGTACCCGCAACTGATTCTGTTAGCTACTGAAGACGGCAAGTAATTTGCGAAAGTTGTCAGGAGATTTCTGAGATTCCCTGTTTTCGAAAATAATGTGGCTGCTCAAAATTCCCCAGTAAACTCAAGGAAACCGCCCCTGATGGGCTGGGGCCTAGTATTTTTAAACAACACCGCCAGTAGAGAGTTACAGAGAGCGCACAGGCGTTCCCGGTAGGGCAAGTCACTCATCAGGAGGGCAGGTCCAGGTGTGCAGCCCCACTCTTGACCCCCGCCTCTCGAGGTCCCGGATCTCTCCGTTTAAACCCAATTCCCGGTTTTATTTATTTATTTGGTCCGCATGCAACGCTAGCACAGAAACCCCCGGCCAGAAACAAATCGCCGCTCCCGGGCAAAGGACTGTCTCGTTACCTTCACAGGTGGCACAGGTCAGAGTCACCCCGCGCCCCGCCCGGCGCGCGGAAACCCTGCAAAAGTTTGCAAACCGAGGGTCCAGAGGGCCCGCGCGAAGCGCAGAGGTCAGCGCGGCGGCCGGTCTCGGCGGCGCCCGCGGGACCAAGATGGCCCTGCGCGGGCCCCACGGCGGCGGGGAGAGGGCCGGGGCGCCGCAGAGGGGCGCGGGGCCCGGACGCCGCCGCCGCCCTCAGCGGCCGGGACCGCAGGCCAGGCCCGGGCGCCTCCAGCCGCCGCCCGGCCGCGCGTTCCCGGAAAGGCGGGCGGGGCGCGCCAGGTAAGCGGGGCCGCGGCGGGGCGGCCGCGGGGGCGGGTCGGACTCTAGGTGGGCCCGGCGGCCGGCGGCGGGGGGAGCCCCGGGCCGCGCGGGCGCAGGCGGAGGCCGCGGCCCGCCGCCGGGAGCCAGGCCGAGCCCGGGAAGGCAGGGGAGGAGGGAGGTTGGCCGGCGCGGGCGGCACGGCCGCTTCCTCAGCCGGGTCCGGGGGCGTCCGCGGCGCGGAGACAGGCCGCGACGACGCGGACGGCCGAGCCGGGGGGGACCGGGGTCTCGGCGCCGCCGCCTTCCTTACCCTGCATGCTGCTGATGGCCGGGTGGCCGGGCGCCGGGGACCCCGCGGGGCCCGGGGTGCCGCTGCCGCCCCCGGAGCCACCACCGCCGCCGCCGCCGCTGGGGCTCGGAGCCGCCATTGTTGGGAGTGAGGAGCCGAGCGGCGCCGCGGCGGCTGCAATGCAGCAAGCTCGGCCTCTCGCACGGCCGAGGGGCGTGGCCATCACCGCCTTGGTCCCGCCTCCGGGTACGCCCCCGGCACGCCCCCGCCCGCGCCTGACGCGGAGCCGCACCAGATGCCGAGCCGCACAGCGACTCGGGTCGCTGATGCCCGGCCCAAAAGGCCGGCAGACGTCCGGCTCCCGGGCTGCTGGCCCCCGAGGGGCCTACAGAGGTCTGAAAGTGTGTGCATCTGGGGGATAAAAGGGTACATAGTTTTTATCATTCCCACAGTGGTCTGTGACCCCGGAAGTTCAAGAAGCCCCTTGTTGGAATCTCAGAATTTAAAATCAGAATCTTAAAACTGAAACAGTGTCACTGAGGTCGTGCTTCTTGTCCAGTCTCTGACAGGGCATTTCCAGAGGGGAGCTGACTCGAGCTATGGAGCTGCCTAACACTCCAACCCTCTACATTGCCAAGGGAGATCCTAGAGAATGCTAGTGAAAGTACTACCAATGGACCCACCCCAAGAAGATCAAATCACAATCTATATTTTAACAATATCCCCAGGTGATCTGCATGCACATTACATTTAAAAACAGTATCTTCAGCACCCAGGCTTCCTGACCTCCCAAAATGTGTGTGTGCTCAATCCTGTCTGATTCTTGTGATCCCAAGGACTGTAGTCTGCCAGGCTCCTCTGTCCATGGGATTTACCAGGCAAGAATACTGGAGCGGGTTGCCATTTCCTTCTCCTGGGGATCTTCCCAACCTAGGGATGGAACCCATGTCTCTCAAGTCTGCTCCACTGGCAGGCAGGTTCTTTACCACTAGCACCACCTCATCATCTGTATCACCATCTGGTTTCCCAGGTGGCTTAGTGGTAAAGAATCTGCCTGTCAATGTAGCAGACACAAGAGACAAGAGTGCAGTCCCTGGCTTGGGAAAATCGCCCGGAGGAGGAAATGGCAACCCACTCCAGGATTCTTTGCTGGAAAATCCCATGGACAGAGGAGTCTGGCAGGCTCAAGTCCACGGGATCACAAAGAGTCAGGCACAACTGAGCAACTGAGCTCACACATCACCACATTCCCCTAAATACACACTGGGTTCTCTCCCTCATCTCCTCTACACCTTAAAGACCAGCTATAGAAATATGTAATTTATATATGAATTATATAAGATGGCAACCTCATAGAACAAAGTCAGGTTTCTTCCAATGCTTGGCACAGACTGATTTTAGGAAGGTAGCAGCTAAAAAGAAAAAAAAAAAGTCCCTTGTGAGACTAGGGGCTTGTGGACCAACAGAAATGTAATTGGAATGGTAAGGTGTGGATCTCTGGGCAGAGGTATGTCTCACCTATACATAGAATGACCAGCTATGCAACATACCAGGTAATCTGAAACATGGAGCCAGATGATTCCCGCCCTTTGGAAGTATTGAGCAATCTGTACCAGGACATCCTTCCAACAGACCTTATCTGTGCTAGAACTTCCTCCTAAGCATATTGGTAATCCGTCCTCCATCAAAAGGAACCTGCCTTTTTGCTCTGAAAACCACCCTCAGCCATCATCTTGATTGCTCACAGTGGGTTCAGATAGGGCTTGTGATTTAGTTGTCCAGTCATCTCCAACTCTTTTGCGACATCATGGACTGTAGCCTGCCAGGCTTGCCCTATCAATAAGATTCCCCAGGCAAGAATACTGGAGTGGGTTGCTATTTCCTCCTCCAGGGGATCTTCCTGACCCAGGGATCAAACCTGCATCTCCTGCCTTGGCAGGCAGATTCATTACCACTGAGCCACCTGGGAAGCCCCAGAGATAGGGCTTAGGGAAAGTTGCTGCTGCTAAGTCACTTCAGTCGTGTCCGACTCTGTGCGACCCCTTCGATGGCAGCCCACCAGGCTCCCCCATCGCTGGGATTCTCTAGGCAAGAACACTAGAGTGGTTTGCCATTTCCTTCTCCAATGCATGAAAGTGAAAAGTGAAAGTGAAGTCACTTAGTCGTGTCCAACTCTTAGCGACCCCATGGACTGCAGCCTACCAGGCTCCTCCGTCCATGGGATTTTCCAGGCAAGAGTACTGGAGTGGGGTGCCATTGCCTTCTCCGTTAGGGAAAGTTAAGTGAAGGCAAATAGAAGGTGAGAGCAGGTGGGTGTGCTTAAGTGGAGAGCCTCGCATTTCCAGCCCTCCAGAACTCTCCGCCAAGGGCCTGGCAGACGGAGCAGTATCTCCAATTCCAGGTCATTATAAACATTGCCAAATTCCCATCTGGGAATCAGTATACCAGCTTGCTCTTTTTAGTCCTGGGAAATCCTAATCAGAAGCTAGAAGGAAAGTACCCCATCCAGGCTGTTTAGCCCAGAGTGAAGGCTAAATACTCTATGGGCATCCTTGGCATGGTGCTGATGGGAAGAGAAGCAACAAAGGACAGAGAAAAGGACAAGCTGAGGCTCCCTAAACTCTCTTCTTTGGGGGTACAGATTCAAAGATGGCTTTCTTTTCTTTGAGGTTTGTATTTTAGTACTCAAAGAGGTTAGTATAAAAAATCAAATGAAATTCATCTCTCAAAACATCAACAAAACTTGCCAACAATTAGCAAAGACTGATAAAAAAAAAAACAGGGACCCCATCCCACCTCCAGCCTTGTGCTAATTTTGCATTTCCATTGACTTGGCCTCTTTAACATACAGGGGAAAGGCATCAACAGCCTCATAGTTTTTTGGCAAACAATCCAAATGTCATCATCAGACTCCAGATGAAGGGTTACTGACACCAAGCAATTCTATTTGAGCAATTTTCTAACACTTTATTCCAGTACCTGCCAGTAGGTTTCACAACCAGTTCCTGTGGTCTAAATGTCACTGTTGTGTATGTTATCTCATTTTTCACTTGCAATTTCTTGGGTCTTGGAATGGTACCAAGAAATGGCTTGGAGGACTTCTCATCTCCCCACCCCCATAAGTACCACAAGCATCTCTCCCCTATTCTTTGCTGTAGACCACTGATAATACTTACAGTCTTATGTAAAGTGTTACTAGCCCCCTTTTCCAATTATAAATATTTCTCTAATAGAAACTTAAGAAAAACATTGACCTCATACAGTTTAACGAACTTGAATAAGAAAAATATATGCAACAAATAAACCTAAAGGAAAAACATTCAAACTAGGAAATTCATTCAAGAAAGTTGAATTAAAAGAGTAAATACATTGTGGAATATAAAATAATACAAAATATCTTATTTACAAAACAGAAATAGGCTCACAGACATAAACATTTATTGTTACCAAAGTGGAAAGGGGGTAGGGGAGGGATCAATAAGGAGTTTGGGATGAGCAGATGCAAACTAGTATATACAGAATGGATAAACAACAAGGTCCTATGTATATAGAGACCGAAACTCCCATTCGTTTGAAGAAAGATTGCTTTTACCTGAACTCAGTTCATTTATTGAAAATCATTCTCTCCCTGATCTTGTCTTAGCTCTTAGATAAAGATGGCCCCTGATTGCTCACAAAACATAGGTACATTCCAATATCAATTTTGAGTTGTAAGACTTTCACATAATACAGCATCAAAATTTGTTGTAAAGAGCTAAAATATCCTAAAGAACTCGAATTTTACTACTTCTTATTGGTTTTATTCATCTTTTCTTTCTCCACGTAAGTTGCTGAGCAACACAATTTTGAGAAAGTCTATTGATAATAAACCTTTGGTAGCTTATGAATTGTGAATATTATGAATGTAATATCTAAATGAAAATTATTTAATATGTAGCTAAATTGAGAATGATAGCTATCCTTTTGTTGTTGTAATAAGCATTCTTTTATAAGTAACAAAATATGACTGTATGTTTATATTCTTGTAAGCAGCTTCATTTAAGAATTAATCAGAAACAAATTACATTTGAAAAATCTGTCTTATAAAAAGACATGTCTTTTTCCTTACATATTCTATTTTACTTACACAAAATGTTTCTTTTTTCACCCTATTGAACAGAAAATAAATGTACCAAGTTTCTGTTCTCTGCTCAGATTCTACTTGAATAGCAATGAATTACAAGATACATAGATGATAAATCCTGTAAGAATTTGTTCAGTGAACATTTCTTACTATATCGATAGAGTAAAATTTTTGATAGAACATCTTTACTTAACAGTCTTTATTGGTTCACTTCAAATCTGAAAATCAGGTTTTGTTAAGCTACTCTCCCATTTCTCTCCGGCGATTCTAACCTATTCTTGACAAGTGCTACTCTAGAGCTCTCACCCTATTTTTGGTCTTTTATGCCTTATTAAATCCAAGCCACAAGTGCAGTCAAAGAAAAGGGAATATTCTTTTAATCATCTCAATCCTAAAGGGAATCAACCCTGAATGTTCATTTGAAGGACTGACACTGAAGCTAAAGCTCCAGTACTTTGGCCACCTGATGCGAAGAGCCAACTCATTGAAAAGACCCTGATGCTGGGAAAGATTGAAGGCAGAAGGAGAAAGGGGCGACAGAGGATGAGATGGTTAGATGCTTAGCATCACCAACTCAATGGGCATGAATTTGAGCAAACTCCAGGAAATAGCAGAGGATTGAAGAACCTGGCGTGCTGCAGTCCATAGGGTCTCAAGGAGTTGGGCACAACGAGTGAACAAAAAACTACTCTCTCCTCATGTTCCATATATAAACCATATTTTAGCAGAGCTTTTTCCCCTACCATCTCATGAGTCTGTGTGTTAGAATTTAGGAATCTATTTTTAGACAGTTTGGTATAGTTCATTGGTTTTCAGGAAGCAAAATTAAAGGATTTCTTGTTTCTTTCCCTCTCAGACATCCTGGACCAAGGAGACATAATCTTAAAAGCTCAGGAGTGTATGAGGACACAGAGATGGGTAGCATCTGTTGATGGACAGGATGCTCCAGGGACTTTGGGGGGACCCACATCATTGCTACATCAGCTCCAAATGATGCCACTTAGAGTAAAAAAGAA